GGCCCCTCAGAATTTCTCAGCCTGCCTGACCCAGCAGTGTCTTGGGCCATCTGCTCCATCCTGCTGTCACAATGCCCACTGAAACACCTGGATCTGGGACCCACCAGGAGAAGCAGATGCCATGCAGCAATCCTGGCTCTGGCCACTACTCTCCAGGATGGGAAATGGTGGCACAGTCCCATTATGCAAACTCCATGCAGGACCAGCCAGCCTGGCCATGGGGACACAGCCAGATTTCCCCTCCTACCTTCTGGCTTGAGGATGGTTTTAACTTTCTGCAGAAAGGGCTTTTCCACAAAGGCTGGGGGTGGGCAGCTCATCCCCAATGTGAGGTCTTTGCTGTCCACATCGAACATGATGGCATCGTACTGGGCTGGGGCTGCAGAAGGGAGTGCATAAAGGTGTTATTCAATTGGACAGAGATGAACCACACACAGTGAGAAGGGAACAATTGGGTTGGTCAAGACATCCACTCTGCCATGTTATGGGGTATTCTCTCCTGGGGTTTCTCTTTCCAAATGAAACGTATGGCAGCAGCCCTCAGTGCTGGGGGAGGCAGCAAATCTAAGGTCCCCTGCACATGTTGGCAAGGACAGGCTCTAAGGTTCAGAGACCTGGTGAGGGTAGTGACACATGGCAGATGGGCAGGGATGGGAAGCAGGGGGTGAAAACAGCCCAGGACTCTGCTCCCCAGCATGTCACCCGCTGGGCTCAGTGGGGCACCCAGGATGCTCTGTGAGAAGGTACCTTCAGCCGCCAGCTTGGCCACATAGTCCAGGCCATCAGAGATATGCACTTGCATCCGGTCACCTTGGGAGAAGCCGAACCAGCGCGTGGCCACCTCTAGCATGGAGGGGTCAATCTCCACCACAGACACATGGGCCTGAGAGAAGTAGTCATGGATGAAAAGGGGCAGGCTGCCCCCACCAAGCCCCACCACCAGCACTGCCTGCAAGGCTCCTGCCAAGGGAGAACACACAGTGAGCCACCAGGATGTCATACTCCCACTGCTTGTCCCACCCACTGTCCCCAAACCATTTTAGGAAGGGCACATGGGACACCTTGGCCAGAAAAGCCTCCCCCCAAGGAGATGGGGCATGGGGACACCCATGCACCTGCCCCCAGCACAGCCTCCCATTGCTGGCCTCGTCACCTGGGAGGGGGTCGGGGCCCCCCAGCAGGCAGAGCCCTGCAACCATGGCCTTGTGGTGCTCACAGCACAGGTAGCTCTTGTCGATGGCTGCAGGTGGCTCAGTGCTGGGTTTCTTCTTGTCCTTCCTCCGTTTCTTCTGGCCTGAACGACAGGAGACATCAGCTGGTAAGACAAGGTGGGAGATGGAAGTGCTTTCTGGGGACTAGCCACCCCCAGCCCTGTCCCACCCACAGTGTAAAAACATTCCCAGAGCTTCTCTGGGACAAGACAGGCAGATCCCAGTAGAACTTTTACCTTCCTCCTATATCAATCTCACTCTCTGTCACCTCCCAAAAAAATCAGCCTTGGCCCCTGCCCCTTCCTGACTACCCCACATACCTGGGAAAGGTGTGGGGGGCAGGAGCCGAACCTCTGACTGCACCACATTCCTGTTGCAGAGGAAGATGAGACGACGGAAGTAGCAGGTGCCATCTCCCTTCACATCCTCCACGACATACTCCCCGCTCAGGGCGCTGGTGTCACAGTGCCGCACCGTCCGCACCCCGATGTCCCCTCCCGCAGACAGGAACGGCACCTGCAGGAAGGACAG